TTTTTTTGGTAATCAAACCCCCGTCCGGGGGGAATTGCCAAAAAGCCGAACATATCCGGGAAAAATACCGCCAGCTGGGCACTTCCCCTCCCGCGGCTGCTGTGTTCCCTATCTTGATTCTTCTGCTCTGTTTAAAGCCGAGCTGCCCGAAGCCGGTAGCGCTCGGGCAGCTCGGCTCTTAAACAGAGCCGAAGCGTCAGGGGAGGAGCACAGCAGCCGGAGCCTGGGAGGGGAAGCGCCGGCCGGGGGTGCAGGGTCTGGGGGCTGCCCGGCAAACCATGAAGCCGGTAGCACTGGGGCAGCCCTTTTCGCGTGGCTGGGAGGGAGGAGGGGGAATGCGGGGCGCTCAGGGGAGGGGGCGGAGTTAGGGCGGGGACTTTGGGGAAGTGGTGGGGAGTGGGCAGAGTTGGGGCGGGGCCAGGGGTGGGAAAGGGGCAGGGCCAGGGCCCGGTGGAGTGTCCTTTTTTTTATTTTTTAAATATGGTAACCCTAGCCTTGCAGACCTTCTCCAAACCACAGTAAGACATTCAAGAGCATTAGGCCCAGCAGTAAACACACCAGAGTCTCTCTCCAAACCTCAGGTGCCTTCTTCTCGGGTGATCACTCAGCTCCTCAGACTCCTGGCTCGTGGTTAATTATCACCATCAGCTCTGTGAGTCTCCAGGGGCTGGCTGGCTTGTTGGGTGGTTGTTTGTCTGGGATTAAATGAACTCCACTGGGTGTTCTTGTTTGTGTGACCTCCCTGCTTATTTTTCTGGCGTTGACTGTGCTGTGTCTCCATTCTAATATGGGGGCAGCTGTTGCCGTCCTATTCGGCGACCCTCGTCCTTCTTCGCCTTTGTAGTGACAGCTCTTTAGATAAACTCCTTGAGCCCTTTTTTTTTAATTCTGCTTGTTGCCTCTCAGTGATAGCCAGAGCTTCACATCTAGTTTTCCTTGGTTATGTTGGGGAATTCACTGGGCTCATCTCCTGCAGAGGGTCTTGGGTGTTGAATTTTTAGCAAAAAGAGCCTTTCTCCAAAGTGTTTCTCAGGCATTTGATGGGTGCTGACAAAAAACCAAACAAGAATCTCAAACAGTCTGAATGAAATTTCCCCTCTTAATTAATCTAGTTTTACTCACTTAAAACTGCAAAGTCCTGGGTAAGTCCCAAAGAGACTTAAGTGTGTGCTTAACAGGGGGAGGGATAGCTCAGTAGTTTGAGCATTGGCCTGCTAAACCCAGAGTTGTAGGTTCAGTCCTTGAGAGGGCCATTTAGGGATCTAGGGCAAAAATCTGTCAGGGAAGATACTTGGTCCTGCTGTGAAGGAAGGGGACTGGACTCAGTGACCTTTTAAGGTCCCTTCCAGCTCTATGAGATAGATATATCTCCATATTAAACAAAAAAAAGTTAAGCATATGCAATATCTTAAATCCCCTAGTCCTGGAACATGAACGTGTCCTGTCGGGAGAATTCTATTGAATGGCATCGAGTTCCTGGTCAAGAGGGCAGGTGGAACACTAAAGCTCCAGTCAGTGTGGCCTACACCCACAATTTTATTGTGACTCTCAAAATATTCGGTGATTTTCCTAAGGCCCTGCCTCCTGGAGTGGTGCGATGATGGGAGAATCTCAGCTTTCATTTACAAAAAAGTAAATTTCCCAGACTCGTGGTTGCAGAGTAAACCTGAAAACGTGCCCCTCTCCCCCAAGGCTCTGACACTAGAAGATCAATAAAAAGAACCTCGATATTACTGGTTTTAAAAGCTGCGTCATCTTTAAGCCAATCGCGCGATTTTGTGGGGACTGAATTATTGGTTTTTGATCATGTGAGGTTGGCAGTTCAGGCAGTTCTCCTGTCTGCCGTAGTGTCTTCTGGGGAAATCAGGCTAGCGAGACCTGCATTTGTAATGTAAAAAAACAAACCGGATTTTTTGTAAAGGGGGCAAGCCCAGTGTTTTCCCTTGCATCCCAGCTGAGGCAAAGACGGGTTCACTTTATAGTGCCGGCTCATCCTTGCCACCCAAGAGCTGGGCGACATGATCCAGGATACAGACTAACTGCCTTTGGGGTGGAAATTGCTGTATTAGACCTTATCTAAAGAACTCTTCACACTACAGTCTTTGACCAAGCATGACCCCCCCACCCACACACACACACCAGGACGCCTAACGGTGTGTGTGTCTTGTTTTGTCTCCGCCCCTTGGCAGGGCTGTATGGCTGTTACTGGGTTCTGTGCGCAGGGACCCCTGACTGTGTGTGTCCAGCCACACGAGCCATCTCGGAGGTTCCCAAGGAGCCAGTACATTGAGACAGGTGAGAGACGGGAGGGCAGATGAGTTTCTAGGACGCAGGGACACCCAGCCACCCGCACGTTCTCGGTCACAGCTCTGGGAGCCTGATCCTTTGCCCCTTGGAGTTCGTGGGGGAGCAGCACTGGTGCAAACGCCAGATTAGACTGAAGTCTCTGTCTCAGTTCCCCCATCGCTCATGCCATGCAAGGAATGGGACGGCGTTTTGGGGAAGCCTTTTCCTGGTTTCAAAGCACAACGGGAGCAGTTCTGCACTGTGTTCCCCATCACGGACGCTTGCAAAGCTCGATGAGAGATCAGCTCATGCCCCCCCAGTGTAGAATTGTTCCCAGCGGGGACTTTCCACTGCCTTGTTCAGAGTCCTAAGTGGCTCCAGCAATAGGGCTGTCATGGTTGCAGGGCTGGCTGCCCCTCTGGCCTCTCCCAGTGCACGCCTCAGGTGTCAGGCCTTTCCTGGGGGTGGGATCACACAGTTCCCCCACTCTGAGACCAGGCCCTGGGCTGCAGCACCTTGCAGATCTCCTGGGCTTAGCCAGCAGGTCCGACTGGGTTTGGCACCGGTGGTTCTTCCCTTCGGGAGTGGTGACCAGTGGTGGGCAGTGACCAGTCGGCCTCCTTACACCACCATGCTGTTTACTCCAGGCTGGGGCCGAGGAGTTTGGCATGTGGGAGGGGGCTCCGAGCAGGGGGTTGGAGTGTGGGATGGGGTATGGGATGTGGGCTCCAGGAGGGAGTTTGTGTGTGGAAGGGGGCTCAGGGCTGGGGTAGAGGGTGCGGGGTGCGGGCTCTGGGAGGGGGCTCAAGGCTGGGGTAAGGGGTGCGGGGTGTGGGAGGGGGTGAGGGCTCTGGGAGGGAGTTGGGTGCGGGAGGGGACTGAGGTAAGGGGTGTGGGGTGCAGGCTCTGGGAGGGGGCTCAAGGCTGGGGTAGGGGGTGCGAGGTGTGGGAGAGGGTGCGGGCTCTGGGAGGGAGATGGGTGTGGGAGGGGGTTCTGACCTGAGGCAGGAGGTTGGGGTGCAGGTGGGGGTGCGGGCTCTGGGAGGGAGTTCGGGTGCGGGAGGGGGTTCTGACCTGAGGCAGGGGGGTCGGGGTGCGGGCTCCAGCTAAGCGGCGCTTACCTCAGGCAGTTCCCGGTCAGTGGCGTAGCGGAGCTAAAGCAGGGCTTAGTTAGGATCAAGGGCTGTGTTCGGATCATGCCTGGTAAACAAGAACCGTGTGGGACCAGAAAGCAGTGAACCAAAATTGGTGTGTCAGAAACTAGGCTTAATTGGTGGCAAAGATACCAAGGGGATGGGCTGTTCAATCCACCAGTCCCTGGGTGCGCCCTTAAAGAAAGACTTTGGGGAGAAAAATTAGCTACTGGAGTGAGCTTCACCAGTATGGCTGCCGCCCCCACCATGTCCAGGCCAAAGACTAGACCAAAGAGAAGGACCCCGGTGACATCATCAGAGTCCAGGCACCACCTGGCGTGAAACGGGATTGGACTGTAACAGCAGCAGCTCCAGCCCATCTCTTCCCCCCAAAACGCCAGTTCTTACCATGTGAGACTGTCAAACCAGGGGGATTTTCTTCCTAAAAACTCTCCAGCTACAGGGAAAGGGAACAAGGGCTGCTGTTAAAATGGCGCCTTTTCTAATACTTGCCATTTCAAAGGCTTTCACTGGTTTTTCCTTTAAAAAACAAAATTTAATTAAAGGTTAAAAAATGTGAATGGCGTGTTTGCCACGGTGCTACGCAGGCTGAGGTCTCCATGTACCAAAATGTGACCCTTGTTTAACACTGTGGTGTTGGATAGTGACTGGGTTATGGTAACATCTTTAGCCAAGATACACCCTCTAAATTAGTACAAATCCCACATCTGTCTCAGAAGCATCCCTGTTTTTATCATCCACAGCCTCCCAGATTCTCCCGGTTAGGAAATGCTCCTAATTTTCCTTTACTCTAATCCCTTGGCTCCTCGTTCTGTCCCCTGGGTCCAGCCAAAATTATTCCTCTCCCTCCGGGAGCTCACACAGTGGGTTGGTGTTTATGGGGCGTCACTTGCATTCCAATAGCCCTGGCTTATGGGCTCTCTGTTCACAGGGCAGGGAAATCCAGCCATCACAAACCGAGTCTAATGCCTCTTCGCTCCAATTTAAAGTCTGTTAGCGAGATTCTGGCACGGCCCCATGCTCTGATTAGAACAGAGGCACCTTGGAGTGAAGTGAGCAGCTTGCTAAGAAAGCCAGATGGGCTCTGACTGGAATAACCGAAGGAAATGAAATATGAGAGAGTGAGAGAGAGTTAAAATAACATTAGGAATACCAGGAGTGAGTCTGACACAGTCACCTCTAGTCTTGGCCCATTGAGTCTTGATAACTCTCAGAATGGGCTGCGGGGTCCCACCATGTCATTACCAATACAGGCCTGATCCTGCCAGCTGCTGAGCCCCTCCTGGGAGTCTTCAGCTTCCTCGGAAGCTGACAGGAGTCAGAGCTGCTTAGGAAGGCTGTTTGCACGTTTAAGGGAATGTCGCTGGTCTTTAGCAGGCATCCCATGGAAAGGCTAGGAGGTCTGTGGCCATAGCTAGCTAAGGGAGCTCTCCCTGGGCTAGCAGGTTAGTATGTTTGAAGCGGAAGGATCAAGTTTCTAGTCCTAGTTCCCCAATAACAGCTATCACCTCACCCATCTTGTCCGTCTAATATCTTGGGACTGACACGCCTACAACACCACCGCACACAGATAGTCATTGTGTCTGTTACCTGCAGGAATGGATCTAATACATCCACCTTCTGTACCACAACCCTCGCTCGCTGAGGCGCTCAGCCCTGGCGAATCCTCAGCCGTGACTGTGATTTCTGGCTTTGGGAGACAGGGAACATACAGGAGGGTTTGGTGGATGGGAAGGGATATAAAAGGCTGGAGTTGAAATGGAGTCTCTGCTGGGGCCTTTTCTCACAGGCGCTGTGTTTAAACCTTTGCCCAGTTTCCTGGGCTGCGACCATGTCTGTTTGGAGCCAGGAAACAAAGGCGCTTCTACGTGAGGAACCCCAGGCCAATCCCACCCCTGGGGTAAATCCAGTGATGTCAGTGAAGTTACAGCTGGGTTGAATTTGGCCCATTGAGACTAGAGAGCCAGAAATGAGGCTGCCAACCTAAGGGGAGAGGGAGCAGCAAAGATTGGTTACCTATTGTCATCATCATACCAGCACTTCCTGCATGTATTTGTTTGGAGTGGAACTACTCTGCACTAAGAGGAGCCCAGCCAATGCCCTGGGTGTTCTGACCAGTCTTTTACAAGCCCTTGTGTAATGGTGAGCTGAAAGAACAGATTGCCTCGGGGGATAGCAGCTTGGCTGACGGGGCAGCTAAAGAGCGGGTAATGGTTCAGAGAAGAGGGACCTCGGACAGATTTGAAACAATTTGGTCTAGCTTTTTAGAAAACTTTGCTTAATCCCTTGTGGCTGGAAACTGAGATGTCGCTGTCGCTCTCCCTTCCCTTCCCTAGCTGACACAGCAGGCGGTGAGTTAGAATTCAGGTGCCACTTACATCAGGCTGATAACCTGCCCACTTTGCGGTGAGGACACAGCCTAAACAACTTGAGTGCGGATAGTCCTCCAGTGCCTTCCCACAATGCCCCCCTGTGCCCACAAGGACAGACAAGGTTTCTCACCGTTCACTGGGAAAGATTCAGAGCGGCTCAGCTCAACGCAGTGCAGTCTTGTAAAAGCGGTGAACAGAATAGCCGAGACGGTCACACACGCACTCCCATGCAGATCCAGTCACAGCCCAGAAGTGCGGCCAATCGGTCTAGTTGTGTTATATGAGCTGAGTGACTGACAGGGCTGCCACTCAAATACTTTTCACTCGTCTAAAGTCTCAAAGAAAAGCAGGCTCAGCTGCGTGAACGGGCTCCCCCTGCAGGGGACGCTGTGGAGTACATGGCAAACCACACATGGGGTCCTGCTCCCTGGTCACTGTGAGCTAACATTGACTTCAGGGAGCTTACTCTGCACTGACCCCAGAATCAGGCCCCCTGCCAGCAAACAGGGTTCTCACTAGACTTGCATTTCTGCCCTGCCCAGCATAGATGGGCCGGGGGAGTGGCAAGCACCGTCCAGCCCCCAACCTCAGCTGGTCCTGTGCTAGTTATTTAATGATTTGCAATTGTGTATTAATGAAACCAAACTCCGGCAAGCCAGACTCCATGGTGCAAAGGTCACAGTGCCAGGTGTTCCTGTGACATCACTAGATTTACTGCCTTGTCTTTATGCTGCGCAGGGATCTGCAGGGAATTATTTATGGCTCCTTGGATGACGGAAGTGTCACTATTGTTCCCCATTTCATGGTGTTTGAGACACACCCCTGTCTGGGGTGGGTTAGGTTTCGGGAGCCGGGTCTCAGACAGTGTGGGCCTGATTCCCGAGGTGCTGAACTGCTGCAGCTCCCATTGGCTTCAGCACTTCTGAAAATCCAACCCAGGGGATCGGCGCTTAGATCCCCAGAACTAGCGACCACTTTGGGAATGTTTTAGTCTAAGCAACTTGACCAGGACAGCACATCAGGGGCAGAGCCAGGGAAAGGACCACAGAGTCATCAGTCCTGGTTTATACAGAGAGCTTCTGATTTCATGTTTTAACTAATCAAATATCCCTGGTACACCCCCTGTCACGGAGTCACCAGGAGATGTTCTGGAACTACTCCATATGAAGCAAGTCAGGACTCTGGGGGGAACCTCCTCTCTCGGAGCAGACTGTCTCCAGGGCAAGAAACTTACACAGCTTTGACCTTCCTGGGTCTGACCTCAGAGCATTCAGCATCCCCTGCCCCACCGTGCGCTTCCCACAGCGAGTCCGCCCGGGCGGGGCTCTTGGGGCAGCCAGAGGGCCCCGCACCCCAACTCCGCAGTCAGACATGACTCTCAGCCAGCCGGTAAAACAGAAGGTTTATTATTCGACAGGAACACAGTGTAGAACAGAACTTGTTAGCAAAGAAATCAGTGACTTTCAGCCAAGTCCATCTTGAGGAGTGCTGGGCTAGATACCATGGACTCCCCCTTTTCCAGTCCCACACTGCAGGCTACCAGCTTCCAGTAGGGTGACCAGACAGCAAGTGTGAAAAATCGGAACAGGGGGTGGGGGGTAATAAGAGATTATATAAGAAAAAGACCCAAAAATCGGGACTGTCCCTATCAAATCGGGACATCTGGTCACCCTAGCTTCTAGCAACCCAACCTCAGACACCCCTGTTGCTCTTCCTCCTTGTCTCACTTGGTCGTCATCTGGTTGCATCCCCCTCCTGGGTCTCAGTTACGAAGGGCACACCTGCCCCAGAGGTCTCAGCCAAAGTCACACACCCCTATTCCCACCACCAAGGTATTGGTGCAGCACACAGGGAAACTGAGGCACACCATATTCATGCAAAATGGTAAAACTCTCATAGGGTCAACAGTAAGACTCACATACAACATAACAAGGGGAAATTCCCACTTCGTCACTCCCCGCCCCAAAATAAACAGCTAGTGTTTCTCCAGTAAACATCAGAAGAAACACTGGAGGGGGTGACTCAGTTTGTGTTGACTTCACCCCTTTCCCAGAGCAGTTTGTTTATGCAGGCAATGCCTCTGCTCCTATCAAGGGCTTAGCTACACAGAGCAGTAATGCAGACTACGGGGGTGTGGTTTCTAAAGCGCACTAAAGTGTTGCACATTAATTGGTCCATGTAGACCCTGCTGGGGTTCAAACAGTAGAGCTGTTTGAAACAACATTGTGTTAAAGCCCACGAAGGAACAAACACAGTGAACACAAAACCAGTGGTTCAGTAACAAGGATACAAAGTTTCAAATAACGTGTACACTATTTTTATACAGCAATAATTAAAGTAGTTCTTATTTAGACAAGAATTTTGGGAAGTACTTGATAAAAATCTTCTCATACTGGATCAAAGAGAAAGCCCCGGAAAACCCCAATATTTGGATATCTACACAGAACTTCAAAATTGCTAAAAATAATCCCTCCCCCCCTCAAATGAAATTAATAAACCCTGAAAACCAGAAGCCCTATGTGTGTATTACACTGTGGCGGAAGTCAGGGCGGGTGCGAGCTATGGGGTTCCTGGCCCCCACAGCCCTGTCTACTAGACAGCTCTGACCCTCTCACATGGACTCCATTAGACGTCAGTGCATTTCACTAGCTCTATTTTTACCACACCCTCAAATATCCTCATTAGAAGGATTTTCTCAGGAAACCCTTCCTTGTGACCCTGGAAGCCTGGTAAAGCAGAGGCCGCTCTAAGCCTACAGGAAATCAACCCTGCTTAGAAAGCCCAGAAATGAACCAGCTGCCTTGTAGGAGTGGAAGCCCAGTTGGCTGGCCCCAATCCCAGGGTGGCCAACAGCCACCCAGTGCATCGGCTTTGCTGCAGGCTGTATTTATTCAGATTTATGCAACACAATTAGCTCTCATTAAGCAGCCCCCTGTCTCCTTGACCTGTTCTGGATTAGACTGCAAACTGTTGGGATCCACCAGGCGTTTTTTTAGTGGCTGATCAGCTATCAAGGCCAGGGATTAACCGCCCGGAACCTCCGCAAGGAAAGTGCAGCACCCGGCAGCGTTTGTGTGAACGTTCGTGGGCCCCAGGGACTGGGCAGGCAGAGGGGATGGTGACGCTGAAGTCACAGGTGTCACGGCAGCATGTGTCGACCTACCCAAGCTAGCTTTGATCTAGCTCAACTAACAAGAGCGGTGAACCTGCGGCAACGTGGGCCGCATCGCAGACTGCCGGCGCTGCTGGGGCTTCCCTGCTGTTGTTACTTGAGGCAGCTAAATCCAAGCTAGCTTGGGCGCGGCAGCGCATGCTGCAGTCACACCTTTGATGGCAGGGGAGACATACCCGGCCTTGGCTATCCAGCCCCAGGTCGGATGCCCTAAGGAGATGCTGACAGCTAGGCCTCAGAGCAGCCCTTGCCTCTACGGGGATGGGGAAATTCTACAGCAGGTGTGCACGCGTCCTGCAGCACCCGCAGGCTCGGTCTGTCCGCCGCTGTATTCGTTCACTTTCCTATGGCCCCCATTGCACCTCACAGCCATGAGCAGCCTGACCCTCACAGCAGCTCCGTCAGCAAGGGGAATCTTTTCATCCCCGTCTTGCGGGTGGGGAACTGAGGGTGAAATTCACTCCAGCCACAAGGATCCACTTCCTAGCCCAGGCCAGCAGTGAAACCCCCCCACCCCCAAGCCACCTCCAGCCTGATTTCCAAATGTGCTGGGCACCGACAGCTCCCATGAAGCTTTCCGTCGAGCTGTGGGGGCTCAACACCTTGAAACTCCAGCCATAGACCCCTTGAGTGTGGTGTTATTCTGGCTCTCTCCTGACTATCATCTGAAGCTTGACACCTGCGGACTCGCCCCAGGTTCTCATTCCTACCTGCCCGGCTGGACACAGAGAGCCATCGCCGACCTGTGACTCGAGAACGTGTGGCTCTCACCCAGCGAGCCGGATGGGTTGTTTCCGCATTGCACACATCTTGGTTGGGGAGACAGATTTGGAGCAGCAGGGAGAGCCCAGAGGATGGGGCTGGGGTCGTTCTCCTCCCTAACCAGCCCAGCTCCCTCATTGGCTGGGCTGTTCTGTCTTTATCCCTGCCATAGAGACGATGGGAATAAAGGAAGCCCCATTATTAGGGAAGGGAGAAAAATGTCCTCATCTCTGAATCTCACCCGCCTGATCCCAGTGGTCAAAGGGGTAATCGAGCTCCCGGGAGCACTTTCATAGGAGGCCGCAGCGGAAACAGCTTGGGATTTGATCCAGTGTGTTCACAAGGACTCGGAAGGACACGTTTTCGCTCCAGGACATTTTGAGGAGCATGAGAACATCAATTACATCCTGCGAATGAAAAGAGTCGATTGTATAAGTCTTGTGCTTGACCCACAGCCTGAAGGAGGCAATGTCCTGCTCTATTGACGTGGTGATTAAAGAAGAATCTTCTGCCCCCAGGGACTGAACTTTATTAGCTCTGCTTATAGAGTGAGCAGGCTTTGCATCATCCGAATAATATACCCCACCGGGCACCAAGACAATAAGGGGAATTTACTTGGAAGCAACTGATGAACAGACATTCTGGGGATACACCAGTTGGGAAAGCAGGGCTTTGCGAGCACACAGCACAGGCCCTATGGGCGAGGTTTGGATCTCTAATTCCGGAATGACTCCACATCACCCAGTGACACAGCTGGGCAGGGAATGGACTTTCCATTCTACAGGAAATTCTGATCGTTCGGAATTTGTTTTCATTACCAATTGGAGCAAAAAGCCAAAACTGGAAAGTTCCTGTGGAACAAAAATTCTGAAAATTTTTTATTTGTAGCCATCCAAACATTTAGGTTCAACAGAGTAAAAAACATATGTTTCAACCCTACAAAGACAAATAATATAATATATTTAAATTAATATTTACTATAATATTAGTCAAAATGACTTGAAATGCGTCAAAAGAAAGTGTTTTTACCGTATTGAAATGAAACATTTTGACATTATCGGTTCAGTTTTTTCTATTGAAAATATTGTTGAAATTAGACACATTCCTACAAAATGTTTCCATTCTGATGAAACGGCATTTTCTAATGCAAAATTGTTCTGTCAAGAACATTTTGACCAGCTCTACCCAGTGCAATTTCCCCACCAGACAGTACGAGAACAACAGAAGCACTCACAGTTTTAAAAGGCAGCACATTTTAAACAGACAAACAAGAAATCAAGGCAGCACACAAACTGGTGGAACTTCCTGCTGCAGAGGGAGGAAGACAACAGCAGGGGCCCGATGACTTTCTGACCCTCTGTGCTGAGATTGTGAGAGCTGAGGAGGACTTCCTGCTTCAAGGTACCAGCTGATGCCTTCCAGGGGTCAGGAAAGGAACTAACCTTTCATTTGCTACTGTCACACGACTGGGATGAGGGCAGTCATACCTCATAGCTGGAGCAGGAGTCAGAGGCCAGAGCCAAAATCAGAACTGGGTTACATGGAGCAAGGCAAGGCAGTGCTGGAGCAAGCAGGCACAGAAGCTATCTCAGGGTAGCTGGGGGCAAATGCTTTGAGTAACCACTGAACTGCTGCTGGT